AGGACTCACCGGCCAACCAGCCTAGCCAAAATGGCCAACTCCAGGCTCAAGAAAGAGACCCTGCCTGTACAGGATGATTTTGAGAAAAAAATTATATATCAGCCTCTGGCTTCCACTAGTTGCCACACACACACATGTAAATCCTCAACTTTAATAAGCCTTTCATCCTGTCTGATAGACATACTTAACATGGGGACTCTTCTTTGATGGAACGCTTATAGGTGCTTGGTTAGGGCTTTTAAATCTGCCATAAAAGTCTCAGGTTATATCAGAATTCAAAGTTTTGTTTGCTTGCTTGGACCTGGCATCTCCCTATATTACCCGAGCTGGCCTTAAACTTTCAATCCTCTGACCTCAGCCTCCTGAGGGTTACTAGGATTACAGGTATTTGCCACTGTGCCTGATTGACTGTTTGTTTAGAATGCTCACGGATAACTAGATGGTCCCTACAATCCCTACAGCTCAAAGCCATAGCACAGGCATAGGATACTCCCAGAATCCCAAGGGGCAGAAGTGATTATGTCAGGAAGGAATGTTCAACATACACTCCACTGCCGACTCATGCAGTTAAAAACCAGGTTCTCATAAAGTTTTCAGGAAAATCCATCCCTAGGGAGTATGAAAAATAAAAGTAGACCTTGAATATTATTCATATGAGTCTAGAGAGATGGCTACGTGGCTAAGAGTACTGGTTACTCTTCAGCAGGACCATGGAAGGTTTCTATACTCACATGGAAACCAACATGGCTGCCAGATGGCAACCTGGCAATCCTGGTCATTGTAACTCCAGTCCCAGGGGATCTGACATCCTCTTCTGGCCTCAGCAGGTACCAGGCATGCACATGGTGCACTGATAATTCATGCAGACAAAACATTGATACACATGCAATAAATCTTATTTAAGAATTTAAAGTTTGTAATGTTGAATAAGTATCTCTCTGTCAAGTGTTCAATACCATCCTCCTTTATGGTTTCAGAGTTAATGGGAAAGAAATAGGGCCAGGAAACGCCAGGTGTGAAGAATGAGCGTTCTTCGGAATGGTTGTCAGTGAGCACACATAGCAAAGCATCCACCTTGTTGCAATTATAGTTGTCTTTATAAGTAGCATGAGAATAAAATAATCTAGGCATAAAATTATAAAAATCTAATAGTAATTATCATTTGATATAATTCATTTGATTATATGTATATTTTCTATAACTTTAGCTTGTTTGTGTAGAAGCTACAAAAATTACATAAGTAGAAGAAAAAACCAAACTAATGCATCTAAGGGGGGAATGTATTACATTTACCTTTGTGGTCAGTGTCCTATGGACTGATCCCTTGGACCTCTTGGGATTTCAGGGGGCTTTGTTTATGTGGCAGCTAAATTCCTTTTGTCTTTACTGCAACTTTTCTTACCCTCACCACCTCTGTTCCAGGGCCTCATCCCTTTAGCTTCTCATATAACATGTGAGGAGTCTAGTTCTGCCCCCTTGTTCCCCTGTGCTAAGAGGAGAGAAAACAGAAGAAGACGGGCTGTTAATTAAACTCCGTGTGATTGGCTAACGAGTCATTTGGTACTTCAGTAACATTCTCCCATTGGAGTTTTCTGGTTCATTGAACCCCAAAATTACACCACAAAAGTCCAAGTGTATTCGTTGGATGGTTAAAGCTCTGCTCTGTTACCGATAAATGTGTGTCCCCACAGAGTTCATCAAAGAGTGAACTGCTACATTGCAGGAGGCTTTATCATTGATTGGTACAGAGAGTGAGAGCATTGGTATACCAAGTGATAGCGAGTCAGTTTCCAGAAGATACCAGGGTTGACCCACTCCCTTACCATCTCCTTGTTGGCCTGCCTTGCAGAGCTGAGGTAGGGGGTGACATCAGGGTCTCAGACTGGGCAAGCACCTGCCACTAAACTGCATCATCAGAGTTACCCATTTAGTCTGGCAGCATCGTTGTGACTGGTACTTTCATAAGCTAGCATCGTGAAATTGGTGTGGATTTGTGTTCTTTCTAGGTGGTTACGGACCATTTCTATCATCTTGTTCTTGAACAAACAAGATATGCTGGCAGAAAAAGTCTTGGCAGGGAAATCAAAAATTGAAGACTACTTCCCAGAGTATGCCAATTATACTGTTCCCGAAGACGGTAAGATTTCAAAACACAGTCTCTCTTACAACTGCAGGAGCCAACTGTTCTTTTCTCATCATTCTATAAACTGCAAATCAGAGATGTCTGGTGAATCTAAGAAACGGCCTCCCTTTAAAACATCCTCTCTATGCGCCCCCCCTCCCCAAAGCACTAGGGTATGGGATGAGCAGCCCTATTCAAAATGCTCAGGATCACAAGTGTTGAGCTTAGAATTTTTTGAATTTTGGAATGTTTGCTTATCTGGGAGATGTGACTCTATTTCATTAAAGACAAAACTCTCTGAATTTTGGAATATATTTCTTTGTACCTCAAATACATAGCCAAAGGGTTTTGACTGACCTGTGGCATGAAGCCATTGTGGAACTTTCTCTCTGTGGTATGAGGTCAGTACATGAAGCTTAGCAGATGTGGGATTGTTGAGATTTTATTTATTCAGAATAGGGATGCTTAGTCGATATTCAAATGTCCTAGTTGGGATTTTCCTTGTAAATGGTTCAGAGGTTGATTTTCTGTTAAAGATGGGCCATGGAAGGAAGGGCTGTTTGGGGGTGTGACTATATCATACTAGGTAAGTTCTCTCATACCACCAGGTGGGTCTTTGGTGACCAAAGACATCATTCAGACCCCATACAGTAACCATAGGTAGTGACTTCTGTTATTTTCTTCCATAGAACAGTGCTTCTCAGCCTGTGGGTTGTGACCCCTTGGGTTGCATATCAGATATTTGCATTGCAATTCATAACAGTAGCAAAATTACAGTTATGGAGTAGCAGTGAAATAGTTTTATGGTTGGGGGGGTCACCACAACATGAGGTGGTGGTGGTGGAGGAGGAACTGTATTAAAGGGTCGCAGCATTAGGAAGGCTGGAATGCAATGCCTTAGAATAAGAGGTGATGGAAACATCCTGCTCCAGGCCACATAAGTAGAGCTAGGAAGGTCAGACAGGCCTCCATCACCTGGTGTCCAAGCCTGTGCTGTCATCCACTCCTGGGGCTTACATGGCCCTGGTGGCCACACTGGTGGGCCCCGCTGGGTGACCAGCTATACCAGCCTCCCGAGAGAGCGGGCCCAGTGCTAAGAAGAGGAAGGTAAACCAGATCTTGTCGTCCATGTCCCTCTTGTGCTTAGTTTGCGGTGTGCGTTGAGCCACTGGGCATTTCTAGGAGTGATTTGCTAAAGGGAAATGTCAGACCAGTTCTAGAACTGTGAGCCCACGAGCTAGATAAAGCCAAATGAAAGGGGTGTTCTGGAATCTAGAGCTGGGGTTGGGACCGCATTTCTTACCGCTACCGAGGACAGAGAAACCTCAGACTTCTTCCCTTTCGTCTTCTCCACCCATTATCCCAAGTCCTGGCTTTAGTGCAGTCCTAGGAAAATCCTAAACGACGTGGGCCCATTCCTCGTGAGAATCAGCAGATGCTGTGAAAGGGCCTGGGGTACAGTTCCTGTTCTCTCAGACAGCCTCTCCTTTGTTAGAAACTCAGGCAGCCTGTGTGCCCAGAGCACACGCTGTTAAATTAGTAACCAGCCTGACCGCTGCTGCTTTATTTCTGTTTCGTGTGGCTGGTTAGTTAATTTGGAGGTTTGCTCTTGGTTTGGTTTGGTTTGGTTTGAGACAGCGCCTTATATAATTCAGGCAGGCCTGGAATTCACTATGTTAACCAGAATGTCCTTGAACTCATAGAGAAA